TTCTATCCCTCCTCAACCATCACCTTCTGATGAAGAGGAGGTGGTTTGGCTCGGTCTGATATGCAATGCCCCACAGAGTGATCAAGCTTTGTTGTGATGGATGTGATAAGTGGTGCCACTCTGGGTGTGTAGATGTCTAATCTCCCCCACGTTCAAGATAAAAATGGTACTGTCCAGATTGTACACCCTTGAGGTGCCATCAGTCTATTCCCCAAATAAATTAGGAAGGCCCACTACAACAACAACAACAAAAAAATAAACAAACAATAATAATTCTTAATAACATTGTTAATTAGCACTAGTAGGGTACTGTACATGCATTCCTATATTTATTTTGTTTCTATTCATTTTTTTTTTTCTTTTGGTTCTCAGGAATGTGTAGAGAACTTGACTGTTCAGGTGGGAATGGGGTCAAAAAATATTTTGGTCTTTTCACTTAATAATAACACAAAGATTTTAGGGATGAAACTGTTTTTATTAAGTTTTGGCTATTTTTTCATTATGTATGATCATTTGGATGTGTAAATGAGCAAAGATTTGGTAGGGGTGAAGAGATGATCTGTGAGAATGACATAGCAGAAGTTATCCAAGTGTCACTTACTTATCCACCCAAGCAAAACCCCAAATAAGACATCTATATATAATATAGGAAATAGCGTTCAGTCTCATTTCTCAACATGGCATTTGTTTTTCATCTTAGTGAGCATGCAGCAAGCCCTTTCCCAGTTTTCAGAGCACACCAATAAGATCAAGAATCAAAATGCAACATAAATATAATGATAAACTGGACCCTTATTTTATATTTGTCATGTTAGATAAACTAAATCTTTGTTTAAACACATAAAGGAGACCTCTAGCTGAAAATTTCCAAGCCAGAAACCAAAATTATGACCGTTTTATAAAACTTTTTTTTATTAATTACGTTTTTTTTTCCCCATAACTTTTTCCAGTCATCAGAAAATCAAGACATAGTGACTATTGCTCATGTAAGTTGCCTTGTTTACATTGGTGATATGAGCAGTGGTTACCAGGTGGCCATATGAATTTTAAAGATACAAAATAATTCTTTAATTTGATTTTGTTTATTGCTGTAATAAAGTTGTATGGATAGGATACATTCATGGTTAGTTGGATATTTGAAATCTTATAAATATGAATCAAGAGTTCATGATAGCGATGATTTTCAAATAAGGTACCATTTAATAAATATATAATTCAAATCATCTATTTCTCAAGTGTCCATTCAGAAGGTGGATGATCATGGTTCTCTACAGCTTTTGTTTTAATAGTACTACTTCCTTTGTTATTCCTCTTTTCAATCACTTAGAACCATATCCAATTTCTAAAAAATATCTTTCATTATTCTTATGTGCTTTCCAATTTCAAGAACATAATTTATCAGATGCCTTTGTGCAATCTATTGACATTTCTGTTACTCATTCTGACAATGAATATAACATTTTTTTGTCTCATTATCTTGTACATAACTAAATTGTTATTCCCTATTTTCAGTCTGATTCTGCTCCAAGCTCTATTCATTTGTATCATAATTAATTTTGTTATTTGGTACCTCAAATTGATTTTGTTGAAGCTCACACTTACTTTTGTAATGTTAATAAAATAGATCTTTCAGTATTATGTCACTACTGTATATTTTGTTTATCAATTCATTCCAAAAGTTATCTAATATTGTCAGCATTTCTGTGATGATCTCTATTCTGCTTCAACTTGGCCATTGCTGTAATTAATTCACATTTTGGTATCAAGATCCTTTTATGCATTATAGATTTCTCTCCTCTTATAGAAGAGTTCTCATTTGGACCAAAGGCCCTATTTGTTTTGTTTATTTATTTATTTTTTTTACAGAAACTAGCCTAAATCCTACCAATAGGGCAGGTTTTCAGCTAGTTGGAGAGAATTCTTACAATTTCATTCAAGATTTTGTATAATATGAAATCATCTGTATATATTTCCTCAGTATTTTGTAGAGTTTTTTAGGCAATATGTAAAGTTACCAAATTATCAACATACATATATTGGGGGGTGCTGAAAAGTTCAAGAAGGGATTCTAAAATAAAGTCTGTTTAAGCATTTGTTCAGATTTTAGGAAGTGAGTTGGTAAAGAATTTCAAGAGCATTCACTTCATATGATCAAAATGTTTTTATTTATGTATAAGTGTGTGTTTGTTTATCACTCACAGGTAGATAGTCTGTAAATATAAACAATACAAGCACCTAAATATTAAGTCTATATATGTTTTGGCATGTGACTTGATTGGTCAAAACCTTCCAAATTTTTAAACTATACTCTCTAGCTTTTAATGACTATTTTGAATCCAGTGCTAATCATCTTTGTATCTTAATTTTTTGTTCTTTCTATTAATCTTCTACCTCTTTTTGGTAAAGTACTAGAGGTTCTAATCAATTCTGAATTGGTTGAGCATAGCATTTCATCTTTCAAACAAGCAATATGGCTTTTGATTTTCTAGATCAACTGCTGATATGGTAACAATTACAGCTGAAAGCGTCTGCCAAACTTTAGGTAAGAATGGTGAAGCTCAGGTTATTGCTTTGGATATCTTGAAGTTATTTAGCATGTTGGTCTTCTTCATAAATTGAATGAATTTCTAATTTGATTCAAAATGAAAGTTGTCTTGAATAGCTTTTTGCATCAATGTCAACAAAATGATCATAAAAATGCAGCTGATCTTCATGACCTTCAATCTGAGACAATTGCTTTAACATTTCCAAAATGAAAGTACTCTGTTTTATTCATCTTCATGAACATTTTTGCTTTCCATCAGCATGGTTGATGCTAACCTTCAGGAGAGTGACTGATTGCCCCCTTCTTGGGCTAACATTTACCATGGACATGAAATGAAAAGAATATATTGAATCAGTTGCTAGGTCTGCAACTAGAAAAGTTGGTTCACTGTCGTGCTAGATAATTTGCTTACACCTTTTATGACGTATTCGGGGCTGCAGCCTGCCCACAGTGACTAATTATATGACGGTGTTCTGGCCATGGCCCCCAAATATGACGTTGTTCAGGGTCCAGTTTGCTTCCGTTATCAGGTATGGTGGTACTCAGGGTCAATCTCAGTCTGCTCGCATGGTCAGTCGATCATGGTATCAAAGAACAGGCTGCCAGCCCACTTGTCAGTCTCAAAGTTGACCTCTTCAACTGTGACCTCTCTTACCCATGTTGTGATTTTGATCTTAAGAGGGTCAAGCCAAATTTCCACTGGTGTATCTTAACCACGCTAAATGAAGGAGTTGAACATGTGCATACAAATTTGAAAAATAAAATGGATGATGCCCAAATAAGTCACGAATATGATGTTTATATCAGAATAACAAAATAAAATATTTACAGTTCTTTTCTTCTTTGTTCTTTTTCTTCTTCTCCCAACCCATTCTAATAATTGGCAACAGAACGAAGATTGTGGGTAGCTTCTTTGAAGAGTCTTCAAGTACTGTGATTTGTATTTTAACAGACGGCACAAGGTTTATTATTGTAGTCTTTCTTCAGAGACAACTGGATTTATCTTCAAGTACTGTTGTTTGTGCTTTCACAGATGGCACAAGGAATATCATCAGAGTTTTTCTTCAGCAGATAATTACTATTATTCTTATCATTAGTTTGGCAAGCAGCATTATGTCAAATCTTTCTCCTGGTCACAACCTCACTGCAACTGGCTGGCTCCAACTTCAACTCATGAACCTCAACTTTCTCCAAATCCAACTAACTTTGGCCCAAGTGGGCTCTTGTATTTATGGATGTCCCTTTCAACTGGTGTGGTGCAGGCATTATGTGGGTTTCATGCAAATCTCCCAAAATTCACCCAGTCGTTTTCTTTCATTTTCTATTTCACATTTCCAATTTTGGAAGATCCCCTCCTCCTTCAGGAGGAGCCATTATATGATGTCAGCCTTTCTGACGTCATCTTCTGCTTTTAATTTTTTTTTTTTTTTTCTCACGGAAACTTTTGTCCGCTAAAATTTCTCATTGATATCTTTCAGCAGATGACTTTAACCTCTGGTCTCCGACCTGCCAGCTGTGTCTAGCAAAGTCATGTTGTGCAACTTTTTTCAACAAAATTCATACATCTATTCTCATATCCAGGGAAAATAATTCTCATTCTGACAAAAATTTAAAATCGTTTTGTTTTAACCCTTTTTGTCCATATGCCACGTTAAATATTGTTACACCTTTATAAATCTGCCATTTGTCCCTGCATTGAATATTGCTTCCACATCTTGGTCTGGTACTTGTGCTATGTATTTAAAGATTCTTGATAAAATACAAAGAAGAATCTGCAATGTTATCAGTCCTAATCTGGCATCTACTCTTCAGTCCTTTTTCCATTGCCATAATGTAGCTTCCCTGTGCCTTTTCTATAAATATTTTCATAGTAATTATTCTGATGAGATTTCCTCTATGGTACCTTTACTTTATAAATTTAAGGGCAGTGCTAGATTGGCAGTTAGCTCTCATCATTTTACAGTTTAAATTGCTAGATGTAACCGTAAGTTCTATGCTAACAGTTTCTTCTCTCGCACTTCTCATTTGTGGAACTCTTCTGGCTTCTTGCTTTCCAGTCAACTTTGATCTTCAAAAATTTAAATGCCATGTCAATTGTCATTGTCTGTCTTTTAGTGTTCTCTCTTCTTAATATTTTTTCTCTGACACTTTCACACTAAATAACCTCTTGCATCTTAGTGTCTTTATTGCCTTAATTAGGGTGAAATGATTAAAAAAAATTGTCTTGTCCATTCAAAGTTTGCTAATTTACTTACAGCTAAATTGTTTCAAACTTTTAATTAAAATCTTATTTTAATATTGTAGCAATTTAACATGTGAAATACCTTAATAGATTATTATTTATAGATCTTGAAGACTACAGGATTAGTGTTTTATGCAATTTGATTTAGATATTTTTATCAGATTATTTATTGTCAAACTTTGATTGTTGATTCTGTATTTTTACTTCTTCCAGTTTGTCCTGTTATTTGAGCAATTCATTCCATTGGTGCTTTTTGTTATCTTGGTTCTCATTCGACAAAAACAACCTGCCCATCCATGGAAAGCTAGTAAGTAGATTTGCTCATTTTTATTTATTTAAATGAAGATTGGTAACCCATTTTAGGTGGGAAGAGGAAGTGGAATAGAAGACAATAATTGTAATTTAAATGAATATGAAAAGAAAAAGAAGATATATACAAAGCAATGCTTGGAGGGAAAAATGAGAGAAAAATATCCTGTCTTGTAAGTATATAAAATTAAGTAGTTAAAGAGAAGAAAAATAACAGCAGTAATTAGCAGAGTACTATTGTTATAAGGACACAAGAAAATAATCTTTAATAGGTTTGTATGTATCAAAAGATAGCTATAGGCATATACACATGTGAAAATAGATATTTTATTATATTACAAATAATTTAAAACTCTATAATTATTGAGAGGTTAATTGTTATACTGTAAGACTGGTATAATTCGGTTACATCTTTTTTGTGCATGACTTCATAAAGTAATGAGAATATCAAAATATTTGCATATGAAATCAATAGAAAATAGTTCATAGTAGGTAACCTAAAAAGCTTTTCTTTGATGATGTTAATATTTAGTTTTAACTAACTACATTTAAAATATCATTTTTGATTTTATTGGGGCAGTTGTTATATCGGCATTTCTTTTTTTTAAATTTGCAAAATTGGTTTATTCACTCTGACATTTGGCAAAAAGAAAAATGCATATTACTTTAACAATGCAGTTAAAAATGTGAAGATCTTTAAGAAAAGTATACTACAGAGACAATATCAAAGGGTTAAAAATTAAGCCTTGCATTTTGAGAAAAATAGCAAGAATTCTGACATTCTATGACAATTATTTTTAGTGAAAATAAAGGAAACCTTAAGAAAATTTATCAAGGGAATAATATCAAATCTAAATCAAAAGAGGTGTCTACTTGCATTCAAGACTACAATAAATGCATTATGCGTACATCAGAAATTTCTAATTGCTTCAATAAATACTTCAATATTGCTTTTTTTTTTATTCTAAAGACCAAAAATTAACATGAAACCAAAACAATTTAACTGAACTTCAGTTTGTGCTATTTAATCATAAGTCTACTGATAAAACAAATCTTTTTTCATTGATTTCTCAATTGCAATTGCTAGTAAACTTGATAGTATTCATCTAATAAAACTTGAAATTTGTAAACTGATGACAAAAATTAGAAATCTCTCATTTTGAAACTGTACACTTTGAAAAACTGAAACTAGCACCCATTTTTAAGAAATGTTTTTGACTGCACTTATTAAGTAATTATTGACTCTTTTCACTTTTTACAAATATTATTAAAATCTTTGAAATTGTTATATCTACTAGACTCTGTCCTTTTTTAGAAGAGTCTCTGCCATTTCTAAATTTCAGTTCAGGTTTAGAGAAAAACACTCAACATCTCATGCTACCATTGTACATAATGAAGCAAGCTGGAAATGAAAATGTGAAGGCTTGTGGAATATTTGTTACCTTACAAAAGGCTTTTGATACCATAAATAATGAGATATTACTGGGGAAAGCTAAAGTTATGGGCTTGGAGATTTAACAGATGTTCAAAACTTTCATATAAATAGCTTTTAACAAATAGTATTTCTTGCAATAAAGCAAACACTGAATTGATAATTTTTAGAAACCCTAACACTGTAATAAATTGGAATTTAAACATCAATATGATTGGTTACAAAATTTATCCATTAAACTCTATAATATTGAGGTGTATATTTAGATAAGTATCTGATAGGCAGTGCACAATGTACAGATCTACTAACCAAACTGCAGTGAGCAAATAGATGCAATCAAAAGTGTGTTACTACTTTCCAGAAAGTGAACTAATGAGAATTTGTTACTTTTTATTTTCATCTTATTTATACATGTCAAATATAGTCAACATGTTTCTGTAAAATGGAAGTATAACAGAATATTGATACATATTTTGTTTTGTTGGTGTTGAAGCAGATCCAGTTTATAAAATAGTTTTGAAACTAAAAGGCCATATTTTTTAGGAACTATTTTTACTTTAACAGGATAATTACCAACAGCTTTCAATCAGTGCTTCATACAAAAGAATAATTTGTACTCCTTTAATATGAAAAGGTCATCAACCCCTTTTGAACACAAGATATGGGCAAAATTTTGTAACCAATGTTTGTATTTGTGCACTGAATCAACTTATAAATCAATTCTCAGATCAAGATGCCACTTTATTGTCAAAGAATCATCTTAAAACCATCATTAAATATCAACATATACATATAATTTGACTTCCATTGTTCATAGAGTAACATTAATAAAATTTTAACTAAATTATTTTTAAATTTGTTGTCTTTCTCCATATTCTCTTCTGTTTTTCTATCTTTTCTACTTTGTTCTTCTACACCACTTTCTTGTTTTTCTTGTCACAAAATTTCTTTTTAAAGGCACTGATTTTACCCACAAAACTCAATTCAACTGAAACCTTTGGTTCAGCTGAGGTGATCACTATTAGAATAGGTCTCCTTACTAAGTGATTGTCCTTCACATAACAATCTAAACTTTTCCTTAGAGTACCTTCTTGTAATCACAAATGATATACCTAACTTTTTGTAAACTACCGACTTCAGTGTAAAATATAATCTAAAATATGGCAAGGATGTATTGAGGTTGGGAAATACCAAACTGATTGCTCTCCTAACTGCAACGGGAGTAATAAGCAGACAAAGGAAAGAGATGGGGGTAACAAAATGTCACTGCCTCCAAAGGTACAGCAAATTTAGGAACAAAATGTCCACAAAACCGACTTCACAAGACACTAAGTCATGCCAACTGCTGCACAGTAAGACATTCTCCCAAGTCATAACATCAGGGATATCTGGGATCATGCTTCCCCATGTCCATCACAGAGCGTCAACTTCTGTGACTGCATAGCTTTAATAATGGACTTCATGACTAGAGGTGCCATATTGAGGATAAATCCGAACCACATTGGGCAAAACTACTTCCCCTTTATGATCAGGGTTTGATATGGCTATGGTGACTCATGGATGTCTATTTTTCACAAGTCACTCTGTGGCAAAGGCAACATAGAGAGCATCCCTGATATGACCTACAATTTTTTCTTTCTTTCACAGCAAACATGCAACCCATCAATTGTAATGGTAGAATGTTAGCAATGTTCTTCACACTGTACAGATCACAGACCATTTCACAATTTTCAAACCATTTAATGATAGAGAGACCTCAGTTTGAACTATCAAATTCAAGGATTAACCTCAGTTCAAACTTGCTGTATGCCATGAGTGCCAAAATAGCATGTAAAATACAGCAAGGTTGGGGGGGAATACCTATCCAATTGCTCTCCCAATCACCACGGGGTAATAGGCAGAGAAAGGAAAGAATGGGAGGTAACAAAATTGCATCAGAAGGCAGAGCAACTTTAGAAGCAAAATGCCCACAGGACCGGCTTCTCAAGACACTGAGTCTTGCCATCTGCCCAGTGCTGGTTTACCCGTCACTTTTATCAACAGGAGAGAGTTGACAGAAACCCAGATTTAGACAAGTTGCAGAGAAGCCTGTATCTTAACATGCCAAGCTGTTTTGCTGTTAACATGGAAAACCAGGATGTAACTGTTTTGACCTGGGGCTTCTTTAGCACCTGTACAAAAGCTATCTTCTTATTGATACTAGGCATGAAGGTAATTCAATTGAAAGGAACTTTGACATTAATTAAAGATCTCTTCTAGCTATTTGTGTTATGTGCGTGATTATATGTTACTCTCCTCACTACCTTGAAATCAAGAACTCATTTCTTTCTTTCTGCAGTTATTATCAGGAAAGTTTAGTAAATAAACCCTAAAGCACATTTGGCAGACCTGCAGACATGTAACATTATCTCTACTAATATTGGAGGCTTGTATGTTTGTGTACATGTGTCTGTACCGTGATCACACTCAAACAAGGCCCATTGACCTAACCTTTGTGTAGTGATATGTAAATGATTGTCTAATTAGCATAGCTAAGGCATAGACTATATAAATGTCTAAGCAGCTCTCAGTATGCAAGATACTGCTGGACTGATAAAATAAAAGGAAATTCCACTTCATAACAATGTTGTCACTGATAGAAAATATGTTATCCCTTGAAGACCCTGACTTTGTGGAGACCTGGCTTAGAGATTTTGCAGCAAGAACTAGAACCAAGAAACTAAGAAACAACAAAGAAAGGTGGGTAGAAAAATGAAGTTATGGATCTTTTTTTGGCCACAGCTGGATGTGAAGCTATAATGAAAGTTTCAACAATGGCTCATCCAGTGAAACTGGAAGATTTGTATTTTCATGAAATAAGTCAGATAATACAGAAAAATATGCAACCTAGAAAGAGATTAGTAATTGCAGAGAGAGCAAAATTCATGGCATATAGACAGGAAGCTAGCGAACCTGTTACAAAGTTTTTGTGTCATTTAAAAAATGCATTTGATATTGTGAGTTTGAAAAAGTTGGCAGAGAAAGTCAAATTTGAAGAATTAATTCAAATGAGACTAATTGAAAAAATGTACAATGCAACACACTGTTACAAAATGCTGGAACAATTACAAATAGGAAATATGTCCTTGAACTCCTGCATTGACTTTGTTCAACAAGAATTAATAGAAAAATTAAGCAAAAATGAAAACAAAATAATTTGCAAGTTGCTGACACCTACTCGCTAAAGACAGCAGTAACAAAATGTTGGTTCTGGGGATATAAACACTAAATAAAGAAATAGAAATTCTCAGCATATGGAAAGACTTGTAATAAGCAGTCTGCAGAGTTAAAAAGAAAACGGTGGAGAGAATTGAACAAAAACAGAAAGATGAAACTAATATTAGAGTTTTCTTGTTGAAGAACAATATTTTGCTAAAAGTTTGAATAAACAACATAGATTTGGATATGCAAATGGACACAGGCAGCAAAGTAATGCTAATACCAAGAAATTTTTGGGAGCATATAGGCAAACCAAAAATACATGAAAGCCATCTGCAATTACGCCTGTTCGATGGGTCAGTCCTAAAACCTTGGGATATTTTAAATGATCCCTAAAACTGAAAACACATTTGAAATAATACCCATCATTGTTGCAAATTGCCAAAAAATCATGGACTTGGTTGAAATGCTGTACTTAAAATTAACTCTACAGAATTAACGCAGTTAAGATAGGAGAAACAGGCATGTAAAAAAAATTAAAAAAAAAAATTTGAAGCAAGTCTAAAATTGAAAGAATGGTACCCCCTCCTACTACAAAACATAGAAATTACCAATGCATTTGTTACTGTTAGTAGTAGCAAAATTGCAAAATCTAGTAGAGCAAGACCTCCCCAATTGTCGTTGTGAGAAAAAGCAGATGGAGATATATGCATATGTGGTGATTATAAAATGGGAATAAATCATAAATTTTGTTCACTCGTATCTCATTCCAAATGTGAAAGTGGCCTTATATTCTTTAGCAGGAATGAATATTTTTACCAAAATAGATACCAATAGACAAAAAATTTAAAGAAGTAACAACAGTAAACTCGTCAATAGGTCTTTTGAGGTGGAAAAGTATGTATAAAGATGAAAAGTGTATTTCAAAAAGTCCTTGAACAAATCTTAGAAAACAACATATAAAATCTGGTATGTTATGAAGATGACGTATGCCTAGGATCCATTAATAAAAATGAGTTAAAAGAATAAGTTGACTTTGTTTTGAGTAGATTAAGAAATGCAGTAATGATAGTAAATGAAAAAAGACAAAATATTGTTTTGGGATATTCCATTTCAAAAGGAGTGTTACCAGATTGAGCACTAATAGAAAAAATACTAAATGTATCGGTACCCACAAATAAAAAAAGATCTCTAGTCCCTAGTACTAGTGAACTTTGATAGACAAGATGTACCATACTATACAGATCTAACAACCATTTGCCAAAGAATGTTGAATTCATATGGACCAAAAAACAACAAAAGCTTTTGATTAAGTTAAAGTTTTCCAAAGATCTGCTAGAAAATATGAAGGAGACCTTTGAGGATTTCATTTTACATTGAATAAAGACTGATCTATTGTCTTTCGATAGAATGACTGTCAAAACTATACAGGACCCAGTATGAAAAAAGTATAACATCAAAAATAAAAAAGAACATATAGGGTAATTGCTCCATGACAGAAAAACCATACAAGGAAATAAGACACAAATTAACAATTGAGAATGTTTAGTGATGCCACAAGAAAATTTGTGATAAAAAGTGTACATGACATACACTATGGAATAGCATTTATGCGAAAAAGGCTAAAGTTAGAAGCAGGGTGGCCATGACATTCACTAGATGTTAAGGAATATGTTAAAAAATGAAAAGAAATTACAAAAAGTAAACTACACACATGGCCCAAAGAGTTGGAAGCATGGAATCACTTTCACATTTGTCACATGTATGTTAATAGTGGTACTCTTATTAATATTAATAGACTCTTTTTCAGGCTAGCTTGAGGTAATTCTTGTACCTAACAAAAGAAGTGCTACTGTAAAACAAATTTTAAGAGTCATATTCTCTAGAAACGCAGTACCAAAAACCCTGGTATCTGACAGTGCTCTGGGATTTTGCAACAAAGGTCTTAACTTGTGGTTAAGAAAAATAGGATATACACCTTATAAGACACCTCCAAATCACCCCTAATCAAATGGGATAGTGGAAAGAATAGTGCAAACTATAAAGGTGTGCCTAAAGGCATGTTCGCAAGGAAAAGTAGAAATCTTCCTACTGAGACTGCACTATGCTAGATGGTTAAAGAGCCCATCTGCCTTAATGGAAAAGCAAATTAGAGCTTCTTTAACTATCATAATCTACTGATGAAATAATTTATTATAAAAAGAGTAAGGAATGAGTTCCTGAGAAGGTAAATTTCATTATGCAAAAATGAAACAATGCAACTGTAATAAGATGAAATCGAGGTCACATACTTGCCCATAAAAATCAAATAAGGTGTTACGACCCTCCCCCATTCTTTAACCAGATTGATAGTAGCGATAGAGGAGGATTCCAACCTGTATTATTATTTTTAATGTGTATGCAAATATTTCAACAACTTTCTCTTCCCAAGGGTCTCTTTCTGATTGATCAGACACAGTTGAGCAGGCTGAAATTGCTTCAAGAATGCACACAGCAGGTGACAAATAACAGAAACACAAATGTAGAGTTAACAATTAAATAAATTTGGAAAACCATAAGATATGGTGAAAACAAAAACAATAAGTCAAAAAGAAATGTGGGATGTATCTATCCTCTCAGAAAAGTAACAAGTTGATTAATAGACAATCTTATGACAGGCCTACATGCAAATCTACATGACAAAATGCATTGAGCAAAGTATAAACATATAAGACAATGACTTATTTTATTGTTATCAAAGTTTCCTTTCTTTTTATCTCCTTCAGCTTAATGTCTCTCATGTGTTTCATCTTTTCTTTTCTCTTCCCTTTTTTTATATTTCTCTCTTTTTCTTTTTGCACAAGTGTCTCTTTTTGAGATCTTTTCTCTCTTATTCTCTTTCTCTCTCTCTCTCTCTCTCTTTTTTTTATGTCTTTTTGACACAATTTCTCTCCTCATGCCAAAGTTTACTTTCTTTTTTGGTTAAACCTCATTAAAGCTATTCGAGCTTCAAAATCATATTGAATTGGATTTCTCTTCCTTTTGCATACATGAATTTATAGCAATTTATCGAATATATTGTGGACCTGTCTGCTTGGCTCAAATGCTGAAGCGAGACTGACCCTTTCTGCTGTTCTATTTTTTTTTTGTGTCTTTGTTTCATCACGTGGTCTTTTGGCCCTTTATTGCCAAATATGAACCTTTTTTCTGTATGAGTGAAAAGAGGTTACCTTTCTCTTTTTCGCCATCTGCATTTCATCCAGTTAAATCACATCATGCGTGATTAATAGAGAAATAAAAATGTATGGTCTTTACTCACATTCATGCCAGTTTGGTAAAATTCTGTTGACATTTAATTTTACTTTATCCCTCTTTTTATTTATTTATTTAGTTTTTTTTTCTATCATTACATTTTCTGAGAGTACTTTTATTTAGAAAAGGGAAATCACTGTCCTCTGTGGGATCAGGTTGAAATCATAGACAAAGGACATCATTGGAAAATTCGTAAACTTAAGGAATCAGCACATATGCTAGGCGACAAAAATCTCCTGAGCCAACCAAGCATAGAAATGAATACAATATGGAAACCAGTAATAAGGAGTACCAGAGAAAAGCAATAATAACAACGAAAATTGCAATATGAGCTCTGGTAAAAAAAAATGATTGCTGAAGATATTAAGTTTATAATACCCAGAAATTCATACAGAGATGTCCTCAAGGACACATGGCACAGTGGATAAAGGCGTTAGATCCAATGACAGGACCCAAAGAGTGTGAGTTCAATACCTGGTTAAGGTGGTGGAGAACTTGGAGAGGGGTATTAACAGGAGATAACTCACAACTGACATCCATTAGACATGGCATGTGAAACTAGAACAGTCTACCTCAGCGAGTGAAATAAAGGGTTCAATTCCAACCCCTGGAGTTCCAAAGATGGCAACATGTAAACAATGTAATATCCGAACAATGTAAATAGTGTACATAATACCTCATCTCAGAAATATAGACAGATACTACTTTTTCATGCATATATTTCTTTAACTGTGCTCTGTTCTCTAAGAAGACATATAGGCAATATGTTTTTCCTGTTATATTTGAAGTTTTTTCTCTGTGAAGTGCCAGTTATCTTAACTTCTTTCTAAAATTCTTTTCTAACATTTTTTTATCAATTTCAGTGATATTAGCTATTTTAAAGAAGAAAAATTTGTTATTCTTGTTATATAGTACTTATGTGATTATTATTAGGTATAGTCATTTTTTGAGGGGAGAATTGTACCAACAAATAATACTTAGAATAATTGAAAAACTTTTTCTAATTTTCAAAATTGCTTTAGATTGGCTTAAAGTAAAATTTGTTGAATTATTCCAAATTCAACACAAAGCTATATTTGTGTAGGTTAAAATTCACTATAAATAGCTTGTGAGATTTGGATGCTAATTATTGTACCATGGAAATTTTCTTTGAAAATTTGTGGGACTTGCCATAAGACCAAATGTTGACATGGATGATTTTTAGAATATTAAATGGAGTTGATAACTCTAAGAATATATGATGTATACTTTTTCTCATTTATCAATTATTTATATTCAATTTTTTTTTTTTTTTTTGGTAAAGCAGTTATTGTAAAATGAACTTTCTCTGAACATTTACTGTTTATTATAAAATATTTATCTTTAATCTTACCTGCTTACTTTGTTTTTCTGCTTAACCTATTGCATGATATATAGAAAATATTTTTTAATCTCAATTTGGTTTAGTTGTTAATGTTTTAGTTCACTTAATAAGGCTCTTTCAATAAATTTGTTGCTATCAGTATTAATTTAAATTTTTCAGTACTTGGAAATATTAATTTGTTCTTAAATTCAATTTCAGTTAATGCATACTATTGATTACATATTAATTTTTCTATAGCCAATTATCTAGTTTTAAAATTTTTTCCCATTTTTCTTTTTAAGGTTATTATGCTGCTAAACCATTACCATCTGCTGGAGTTATATCTATCATGCAAGCATTCTGTGATGGAGGAATATGGGATGATAACAACTTTGTTATTTTTCCCAAAAATAGGTACTGAGAAGAATTATGCATTTATTTCATTTGTTGTGTTTGTTTTGTTTTTTTTTTTTTTTTTTTTGTTTGTTTACTTAAAAATATTGAAATTAAAAATAATTTAGGCATTGCATATTATATAAAGCTGATTCAAAAGAAAAAGTTTTGTGGTTGAAAAATAAATTTTCCATTTTTAGGTGTATGAGATTATAAATAAACATACAAAAAAAAGCAACTCATGAAGGAGTATATTAAAGTAACACAATGACAAAGTACTCAATAGCAGAATTGCATTGCATTTTATGCACTAATGTTTAGCATTCATAGCAGTCTGGCTGGTTTATATGAATGTACTATTGTGTACAGTCATCAGATGGCTGGTATTGTTTTTTTGGTGATATAGGCACTTATACTCACTTTCTGGCCCATGATATTACAATAAGAGTAGCTGGTGAGGATACATAGTGTACTCATCAACTAAAATAACTGAAGTGGGGGTAATACTCATAAGCAGTATTGACACAGTTCAATACTCTGAATGTCAAGAGTCTGTTCTATGCTTGAACATAATATTCAGGCCTAAAGTTTGCATTCAAGCATGAAACATACTCACCACTCAGTGTTGAACTCTGTGCCCATAGTGCTTATATTTGCATACACTTTATCCCAGATATTCAACACTTTTACTCCATGACTATAGCGTAGCTTAAAAACACACACACAACAAAGCAAATAGGGACAAATATTCACAGTTAAATTTGATGGAATATATAAATGTTTGTCAGGGTTATCTTTGCATGAAGTGTCCCAACTTAAGACCAATATTAGGATTTCCTGTTGGCTATTGATGATCCATCTCAGACAATGTTTTGATACATGATTATCTTGTGTGTGTGTGCTGTCTACAAAACTCTAGAGTTGTGATGCTGAAGATAATATCAATCAGCTAAATGACAAACATTTTACTTGTATTAATTATATATGAATGAAAATGGAAAATTGGCAGTCAATTGCCTATATATATATATATATATATATATATATATATATATATATATATAGTTATTGCCATTTTATATTTTTAATTTTATGCATGCACATTGTTTTTGATTTTGTTGACTGCACCATGACACAATTTAGTCCACCTGAAATTTGGAAATGTCATGCTATACTGTTTGGCATTCACATTGGAAGCTCCAATACAAACATTTCAGAGTGTTTGGATGTCAATCTGAGGACTGCAGAAGATTTGGAAAGAGTTGAATGAGTCTAATGGTGATTATGAAGGTACAGCAACTCAGAAAACTCACTCTGATTGTTCTGATAAGAAAAGATCTCCCAGAATTATTACATACATTCTCATTTTATATATCTGCTATGTCGTGCACTGAAAATGTTGTCTACAAATTAAAGAAGATGATTGAATCTTTGGGGAGTATTTCCAACAAGTGGCATGTGTCATGACCCTATTTTATCTGTTTCCATCATTCAAAATAATGATAATTCTCTATTGAGGTAAATTAAGGAATAAAAACTTATTTTAATTCCTGACCTATGATAAAGCATTTTTCTTGGAAACTACCTACTTAAGATTTAAGAAAAAGTAAGCAACAATGCATGATTAGTTTCCTTAATCAGATTACAGCATTGGAAGAGAAATAAAATTTTGAATACTAATCAACAATATGTAGTAGATGTAAAAGTGTGATCTATTACTTGGAAGATGGAAAAGCAGATGAGTATGCGGGTTAACATGAGTGGAAAAAGACAACTAGATTTAGATATGATGAGAGACAGTTAATTTTTTTTGTATCACCATAAAGCACAGCTTATGCTGAACAAATTTTACTGTTATAGTTATATATGTAAATTTTATGTATTTGTTTAAGCAAAGTTTATGTAAATATATAGATAAATGAATTCAGTTAAATTTTAATTTGCAGATGTTGATATTTTTTTCGCTTTCTGTACTGTATGTTATTGATAAAATATTTGTGAAAACTAATGTATGAACATAAAAATATGTTCGTCTTTTAACATTCTCTGTTCTCTATTAAAACCTTAAATATTTTTTAAGTCAAATAGTTTACAGATTACAGAACATTTTACAAGAATTGCTGTATTATTTAGAATTAGTTATATTGTAATGTGTAGCAAATCAACTTTCATACTATCCTGATTTTTACCATTTTACTGAGTATTTTCTTTAAAATTTATCCTGAATGATAACGCTAGGAAATTATTTTTCAGCAATATCTCTGTACAACTTCAAATACATACATAACTATGGCCAAACCAAGTTAAATATTTAAAAATCATAACCAAAGGAATTATTTTCTATCTTCTATCTTAGTATACTCTCTGGAAGGTGAACTAAAAATTGCTTAATATATGTTACAAGGAGTACATAAACTTGTAATAAATTATACTGTATTTTTTGGGGGTATGATTTGTTTTTTTTTTTTTTTTTTTAAATGTTTTTATTGGAAAAAAAAATATCCAAAAAGATATATACCAAATGAATTTTAAAACTACTCAAATTAATTTGGGGTTTGTGCACAATTTCTTTTTAATATTTTCAGTTTCATCTTTAGACACTTATGAAAAATGTTTCCTAATTAGATGTCACAAATAAAAAATATAGCATCTTTGCTATATGTCAAAATACATGTGAAGCATATTTTTTCTATAAGCCAGTCTTGTACATGTGAAGCAACACATTGTCAATACTTGCTAAAAGAATTAAATATTCTGCCATTAATCTTGCTTAAATAATTTATAAAACTACATGATAATTTGTTTAAAAATGTTTTCTATTAGTTTTTATTTATTTATTTTTTTTATTTTTTCAGAGTGCATCAGTTTTTAACTCAGGTTCAATCTGTGGCAAAGGATAACAATTTCTTTGAGCCTGACTTTAGTCTTAAAGAAATGGATGAGATTCCTAGTATCTACAAGAGTATCATTGATGATCCTGCCACTTTACGAGATAGATTTAAAAATGCAGAAAGTGAGTTGAAAAAATTTTTAGTATTTAAAATTCTTTATTCCTCATTGTACAAACTCAAGAAAATGAATTCTTTTCAAGCTTTAGATAAGTTTTATTGCAGTCAATCATTAACTTATGGGTAATGCAGATTTCTACTGGTACATTAGATATAGTGTGTTGGCAGTGTGTCAGAAAATCAGTTCATTTAGTTGTGAGACATCTGTGAGATGCACATCAAAATAGTAGTTGGCTTCAGCAAAAGATTCTAAAAGAAAATTTGAAATAGTAATTGAAATTATTGTCTCTTTCTGTGAGTAATCAGAGTACTTATATTTCTGTATTTCCCATTCCTTCATTTCTTAGAATAAATTCTAAATAAGCAATATAAATTTAAAAATTATAACTAGAGAAAGCTTTTGTTTGATTAGCTAGAAAAGAAAAAAAAACAGTGAATTAATTGCTTACTTATTCTATTACCTTTGTGTAGCAAGCATGAAAGAAAAGAATAAAAGAATGGGAGATCAAAGAAAGAAAGGCAGAGAAAAAGTAAAATTTTTGCTGCTTACCTTCCAACCATATTAAGCCACATTAAGTTCCACTCAAACAGCATTTTTCTCAAGATCTGCTACTATCTTTCCATGTAGTCTCCACCATTGGCTATACATTTTGTTATTTGACAGCTTTGCTAGGCCACGCAGAATGCTACTGTTAAGATGTGATCCCAATATTTATTTATTTACTGTACAATGGGTAAACTATTCAACATCCAATGTTTACACTATTTACATTGTTCAGCCTGTTGTTCTAATCTTTACTGTCACATTCACAATGTTTCACCCATTGTATGCTCTGTCTTTCTTCAGGTGATGTGTGTTCCCAGTAGATAAGTGTTGGTTCTTTGATCCAAAAAGTGACATGACCCAAAGAATTGTGAGAATTGACCTCAGTGTAGAGAAAACTTGGAGAGTTATCAAGGTGAATTAATTAAAACTGGGATATGCAAAGGCATGGTACATGGAATTAGAACAATCTACCTTCTTGGACTAAATAAAGAGTTTGGTTTGAAATTCTAACACATATCACCTGAAGAAGACTGGAGTGTACAACAGCTGAAATGTGAATGTGACAATAAAGATGAGGATAACAGTCCAAACAATGTAAATAGTTACAATACCTTAGAAATATAGACAGATGTTGATCTGGTGTTTCCCTGCTACATTCCAAGTTCTTGTCTGAGACATCTGTGTATGCAGATAACTGTGACTTGTTCACCCAAACAGAACAGAAAATGCAGGCTCTGATAAATCTTTCTTGTTAAAAAAAAAGTCTTTTGGCCTTGATATAAGCCTGGACAAGACAGTGGTCAAGTTCTGACCTGCTTCAGGTCAACTTCAAACCATCAATATTTGTGGATGCTCATAAACTGAAGTTGGTAATCCAATTCACATACCTTGGGAGCACCATAAACACACTGAACTCTTGACAAGGAAATATCTGATCATGTGAAGAAAGCAGATGATGATTTTACAGCTCTAAAAGCTTGTCTAGTCTCAAAGGATTTAAGAAATGCACAAAGATGGCAGTTTACAATGCCTGTGTGCTGGCATGCCTTTTATACTACTATTAAACCTGGGTTATGAATTGCATACACTTAGATTAGGTACCTCCACAAAATCGCTAAAAAAAGAGCATAGCTTGATGAAAAAGATGCCAACCTTGCTGAAAATAAAATTTTATTGTCTAAATGCTTATGTTATTATTAAGAGGAAAGACAAAGTTTTTTTTTAATTATTTTTAAAAAATTTTCCTTCTTTTTAGAACATTCTAAATTTTGATTAAAAAAACTTTTTTCTTTTGTATCAGCGGAACTAGTAAATAACATAGACACAATTTTAGCATTTTTTTTTTTGGTATGACACACATTAATTTGAAAAATCGTGCAAAAATAGAAATAATTATCGGATGTTAATGAAACTTTCAGAAACTATTCACAGATGATCGAAATTATTATAAATATGTTTTTTTTTTATGAAAGTCATGGTAGAAATATTTTTTAAAAAATATTTATTACCCCCAGATAACTAATTTTATGAAAACGCTAGAAATTCGATCGCATCGGTTTTAGTGATTACAATAATTAAAAGCACAGGGCTTTGAGGAATGCAAATCATGTTTTTTTTTTGTTTTTAATTGGATACCCAGTACCTGAAAATCAGCTCTGAATTGTAACATACAAAACTCAATAAAACAAAGATATTATTTAATTTCAAATGCTTTTATTTGCTTTTAGTTGTTTTTATGAATATGGACAATATTTTCTGAAAGCAAAAAAATTTTTTCAATGAAAAATGAATTTTTAATACAATTATTTGTTATTTCATTAATTATAATAGATTTTACATTTAAGTTGTTAAAATATTATAAAATTAGTTAAAAGCTGCATCAGCTTTCATAAGTGTCCTTATCAGATAGATCTTTTTTTTTAGCGCGTTGTAAATTGTATCATTTTGACTAATCAGAAGATCCCCAGTAATTAAGAAATGTAATTTTGTGCTTATAATCGAGCTGTAATTATAAAATACGGAAGACCAACCAGAATATAATTAAGTTGCGTTATTTGAGTTAAGCATTGTTCTCCACTGTTAAGGCCTTTACTTTTGAAACACGTGTGGAGAAGTTAATTTGATTTTTTCAATTTCAACTGAGAAGGGTACCTACAAGTATCAGTATCATCTTATGAAATTTATATGATCTTATTTTTATATTAATCTCAGTTACGACATTTTTCCATAAATGAAATATCAAAATTAATAATAAAATGAATGCAAATACAAATAACAGTAGAATGTAATAAATGTACATAAAATTATAGTATTTTATGTACAATTCTGATAAAATTTCATAAGAAAGGTACCTATAAATTAATTAGATACCTTTCTTAAGAAATATGAAATTTAATGTCACTCTTAACAGTTTTATTTTAATTTCTTTACAATATATTTTCCCATAAAGCATCATAAACGTAAAGGTGAAAGCTAAGTAAAAAAAAAAAAAAATTAGACCGCTGAAAGTTTTTCGTTAAAAATAACGGGGTAAATAATTTGTTCACGTAAATGTAAATTATTTCACTTTTCTCCTTCCGTAGAACAAATTAGCCTCATGGAATTATAAATATATCATTCATCACATGTCAAGAGACGCTAAAAGTTTATGACCTGCTTTGTTTTATTTTCAAATTACATTTTTTTGGCACAAAAGCTAAGTTAAGTTTGGTTCAAAATATTTTAAATAAACATTATAATTTCTGATTTTCTTAAAATAAGTTTTGAAAAATGATAATTGATATTTAAAAAAATTTCAAAGTCAGATTTCCAGTTTTTTTTAAAATGGAAAAAAAATGGTCAATTTTGCTGACTCAAAAAAAAACTAGATTTTTAACGAAAATTTCGGACGTGCTAGGAACGATTAAAAAATGGAAAAAAATACCCCAAAAATATTTTGACCTTTCCTCTTAATAATAACAAACATTTAGACGATAAAATTTTGTTTTCATCAAGTTTGGCGTCTTTTTCATCATGCTATGCTCTTTTTTTAGCGATCTCGTGGAGGTACCTAACTTAGATGCTCTGGACAGATTCCATCAATGTTGTTTAAGTTGGATTCTGGGTATCTACTGGATATCCCACATGACAGACACTGTGACAATAAATGTGCACTTTGTTCATCGCCACAGGCTATGTTAGGCAGACCATGTCATTTATCTTGATGATAGTAGAATACCCAAGCAAATGCTCTACAGCACCCAACACCAGCTTAAACCAAGGAAGCACTTCAAGGACTGTTTAAGAGTCCCTTGCAGCCTGTCATATAGAAGATATGAGTTGGGAAAACTGCTGCTTGGGATTGAAATAAGTGGAGGGATACAATTCATGAAGGCACTAAGATCTTCCAAGAATATGCATCAGTCTGATGAGGGCAATATATTAATATTTTGCATTCGAAGTGGAAAATATCTTGATGTTTTTTATTATAATAAGGATTATTTTAGTGATTATTTAATAAATAATTCTTTTATGTGATTACTTCTAGCAAAGTGTGCAGCTAGGAAAAGTGAAATCATTGATCCAGCAATCCATCACTTTATGTAATAAATGTGGCAGAGCATATCTTTCCATTGAGAGCCACAAGAAGTCATATTGGTAGACAGTTGATAAATTATGATCATTACTTCTCTGGGAATAACTTAGCATGTGAAATATCAGAAGAACTGAAGAAACTATGCCAATCTCACCTATCACATGAAAACCCATGAGCAACCTGAGCAGAATTTGCAAAATAGACCAGGCCTGTATACAGAACAACTTTGTTTGCCATGTCTGAAATAAGCATTGCAAGTCACTTGCTGGCTTCCAAAGCTATTTCATTCTTACAAGAACCAAAACCGTAGATCACATTTAACTATGATGATCATAATCATTTAATACGTCAACAGGCATCGTGTATGTAAGACTATTTGTCTCAATAAAACAATTATTAGTCTGAAGACGTTTCTTCTAGAGTCAAAATGTATTAGTTTTCCTTTTTGTTATTCAATTTTTCACTATTAGTCTGATTTGTGTATATATTCCATATTTTTAGCTTATGTTTTTCAGATATAAAATGTCAGTCAGTCTGATGAGGACAATATTTTAATATTTTGCATTCAAAGTGGAAAATATCTTAATGTTTTTTATTATAATAAGGATTATTTTAGTGATTATTTAATAAATAATTCTTTTATGTGATTACTTCTAGCAAAATAGAATTGCAGTAATGAAAATAAATAAAACAGTTATAAAAGTATGCAATTTCAATTGTAAAAAATATTCTGATGTTTACTGAATTTAAAAAAATACTTAGTTTTATTGACATTATACAGTGAGTGCAATGTAACTTACAGACAACAGGTTTGGATGATGGACTGAAAATGATCTCATAATTTAGTATAAAAAAAAGATAAGCTTCGTCCAAAAATACATTGAACGCTAACAAGTTCATCTCAAAATTTCAAACAATATTATATGTAAATAAATAGGATTGTTTTGAACACCCACTGTATCATTTCTTTAATATCATATTTTGTTACAAATTTGATATTTTCTAATTTGCTCTTAAATATTCAATTGAGAAAATTGAAATTCTTGTTCTCTTTAACAAAATCCAAGAGGATGAGTTTATTTTAAATAAGACATTTGCTATCTACTTCAGATTTCTTACAAGAGGGTGAAAACTGTTTTTTTTTTTTATTTTCATTATTGATAGAACAACTGTCTTGATTTTTAAATTAAATTTTAAATTGATTTAAATTTGTTTTATTTCTTTTCAGATTTCAAATTGAATTATATAATGAATGATACATCTGAATTAGAAAAGTTTTTCATCAATAATATGTCTTTGACTCCTACTGAAGTGGAAACACTTCTTCATGCTTCTATAAACACTAAAAAGGTAATTTTGAATCTTTTTATTGTATTATTTTTCTTGTTGTATAATGATGCAAATGGTTTCTATTCTTTGAATTACAAAATGACTTCAGTGTTATGTTAGTATAAAATTATGAATATGCAAATTTTGTTTAAAACATCTATTAAATTTCTAAAATATTTTATTACTAGACATATACTAAATCAATACTAATTAAATAACAGTACTAAAATTGTGTAATTAGCTTCACAAATTTTAAAAAATTTATTTTAAAATTTGTGAGACTAATAAACTGCACCTCAAAATCAATCTTTTAGCATTTTTTATAGGATTTGAATTTAGTTGTATAAATTAAAATTATTTAAGGAATTTTGAGATGGAATCTATATAAAGTCAATTTAGATAATTTGAATTAATAAATCACTTAGAATTTTGAAAAATATGAACTTTTATGAGATATACTAGTCCAAACTTGAATATTACTACAAATATTGGTATAATAGTTTAATATTGTGTTTTCCTATAATCTAATTTTGAATTACTATCTAAAAAACACATTTAAACACATAAATGCTAGATTAATCTATGAATGTGACAAATTTGTAAAATACAGAGGACATACTACGCTACTTCAATATTTCAAATATAAGGAGAAAGTTCCACTCAAACAGCATTTTTCTCAAGATCTGCTACTATCTTTCTATGTAGTCTCCACCATTGGCTATACATTTTGTTATTTGACAGCTTTGCTAGGCCACGCAGAATGCTACTGCTGAAACACATTACCCACTACCATCCACTACTTGGCCTCTGTAAATGTTCAGCAAGTGTGTTGAATTAGTGCAATTTTTTTTCCCCATATGAGTTCCTATATGTGATAAACAATAGCCTTTGCAGGTTCTGGCAACTAAAGAACTTATGGAAATTATCAAACAATTAAAGTGAAGTTCAAATTCCAGCTATTTGATTCTCCCGTTCTATCTATATTGTTCTATGGTGCAGAATCTTGGACTGTAATTAAACAATCTGCAAAAATGCTGGACTATTTTAGAATCACTTGTTATAGATATATGCTGGGTACTAGAAGAACCAACAATATCAGAAACAAGGACTATCAGCAAAGGGCCAACTACCAATCATTGATTAAAAACTTTTACATGTAACAACTACATATCTTAGGGCACTGGTTAAGGGCATCCAACAACTTCAACAGCATTCATTTTCTACCAACCCGAGCATGGAAACCCAGGAGTGGGTGACTAAGAATGATCTATGTAAAACACATAGAAAACAACTGTGCATATTTAACAGAGAATGGCGAAGAAGCATGGTTGGGCTGTATGATCCACATATTCCTGATTAAAGAAAAATAGGAATTCTGTTTCACACCTACTTTACATGAACTTCCATGTCACAGCCTATTTTGCTAGACAAGACAAAGAAATAATAGTTTATTGGTGGGAAGTTTCAATCTCTTCTGCCATACCATCAGCATCTACCTCTAATATAGTGGATCAGCATAATACGATTGGAAAGCATTACTTTTGAAGTGATCCTCATTTTTCTATCTAAATTCAAAACGTCATACATGTTGCAAATGTAATAGAATAAACTAAATATACTATATTAATTCATAACAAGAGAAAAATTAAACAAAAGTTTTCATGTACGCACAAATGAAAACGGTGAAACTTAAATGTTTCATTTCACATGCATCAACATTTACATTTTAACATTTTTCTTTATTTTCTGTGTTTTAGATTTATGAAATTTTGTCTGGATCTTCCTTCGGTTCTTCATTTGTATTTGAAGAAAAGAGAGATGCAACAAATGCAGAAAGCAATTTTCTTGACAACAGCAACAACCAAGAATATTTAGCTGAGCAATTATTTCTTGGAGACAAAAACTCTCCCTTTGACTCTAAATTTACTTATAGCTTGCTTTATGAATTGCTTGACAGTGAGCAGTTAAAATTAAACAGTGACATCTTGGATACAGTTGGTCAATTGATTGGTTTACCTGCATACAGAGAGACTAAAATTAATCCTGTCAAAGTAGCTCAAGTGCTTAAGGCAAGTAGAAATTTTCGTGTACTGTTTTTTATATTAATTTCTATCCTATAGACAAATATTTATATTATACTAACTGGCTGGGAGCCATATAAATTCTGTAGGTGTTGACAACCAACATTATCCATAGTCTCATGCCAGTGTTCTATCATCTTTTGCTTGTGTCATCTCATTTTTTTCATTTGTTCCAACCTTTGTTGCCCATCCATATTTTTATCCAAATGTTATGTAGAAATTGTATCATAGAAAAAAAGATACAAGTAAAACAAATATTTTCTGTTGCATCCTCTTTTATTTTACTCTCTCTCCATAAAGAATTTGAATGAATTACAATTTTATACTATTCTGTACTACCTACCTTTGAATATATTGCTAATTGTATTTTATTTTTTTTTATATGCCTCTTTTCTTCTTCTTTATATGTACATATAATTTTTCTTTCACCTGGTTTTCTTTTCATTTTCTTTAAATTTCTTACCTCTTACCACTCCTCCTTCACACTCTTTCACCTCTCCTCTCTCATTTTTCCCTAATTCCTTTCAATTTAGTATTATTATATATGTTCCTTGGCCAGAAAATGAAATTGATTTCAGCTAAGGATTTGTGATTGAGCAGATACTGCACTCTGAGCCTTCATGGAAAAGTGACAGATGCAAACAAGCAGATATTAATATAATCTGTAATGTAACTGAAGATCATTGATATTTCTATATTTTATGCATGTCATATTTTGTTTGAGCTTGGAAAGACTGTTTTAAAAAGATTGTAATGAACATATTATAATACAAGATTAAAAAAAAATTCTGCTTGTATTTTAAATTTTAATTGAGTCAAAATCATGCTCATCAAGAAACAAATTTGAACTGCATTATATGCTTTTGTATTCAGGCCAGCATGCTTATCTTGGCTATTATACTCATATAGACTCTTGTCTTCATACTTGGTAATCTTCTTGAAGTTTTGACTTGAACTCTTATCCAATCTTCTCATTCTATTTTCTGTCTTTTATTAATTAATTCTCTTTAGTCTATTCCAATTTGTGGTGTTTGTTTGCTTCTTCCACCATACCAAAGTGTGATATTTCTACACTGTCCAACATAGGGATTGAACTCCTGGTTGCCAGAAAACCAGATATGCATTAACCTGTAGTGAATGCAAAATAATAATAGCTCCCTTCACCTTTGGGTGTGCTGAAGAAGAGGGAAAGAAATTTGTGAGCCAATGTGAAATTGTTTTTGGACCAATAAAAACCTTACCTTCCTGTCAACCAAGAAGAAATAGAAAGGCATGGAATAATTCCTTGTCTCAAAATTTCCTACATAAATTAACAATTTTTTTTTTTTTTTTTAACATTGAAATGAGAATGTTTGTCATACTCATTCCTTGCATAAGATTACCATATGCTCATTTATTAAAATACTACAAAAGACAATTTTTTTGAGATGACGAATTATCATTATATGCTTTATTTGAACTAGCTTTCTCATCTCGGTTGTTGTATTCAGAATATTTCTGTATTGTATCCTATAACTTTCTTCTAGTGTCTGTCTTTTGACTCATGACCTAGTGGACTAAAGCATTGATTATAGCATGTTTGGTTCCCTGGCAGTTGACTGCTTATTCCTGGGTCTAGTAGTACTGAAAAATCATATACTTTGGTTCAGTGGAAATGGACAACAGACAATAAATAGACAATAAAAGTAGCAAATATTAACTAATATTCGATAACCTTGGAAAATGAAATGCAAAATATCTACTCTTGCTGATTGAATAAAGAGCTTGGTTGAAAATTCAAAGAAGGTTACTGTGTATGAAGACAAGCACACTTGAAAAAGATTGGCAGATACAGTGGCAAAGACATAATGCATATAATAATCCACTTTTTAACAGATTTTTTTTTTTTTTTGATACAAAAATGTAAATATAAAAAAAAAAATTAAATTTGAAATCTTTTGAATAAAAATAAAAGTACTTAATAGATTTGAATAATTTTCTCCAAGAAAATATAAAGAAAAATATAGAAAACAAAACTAATTATCTTAAAATGTTTGAGTTGAGAATATCTTCCAAATATAAAAACTGTTTTTAATGTTCAATCTAAATTGAAGACAAAGGTTATATATCAGAGAAAAACATTTTGTTCATAAGTACCATATAAAATAAAAAATATAGACTAAAGTTATATATATATTTTTTATTTTAAATGTTTTTCTCTGATATATAACCTTTGTCTTCAATTTCTTTATTTCTTCTAAAATAACAAGTTTTGCTGCTTTTTACTGCTTGAAGTAGCAGGTAAACCTTTACTCTAGAGGATTCAAGTTAAATTAATTGTAATAAAATAAGTTTTAACATAATTCAAACTTTTTTTCATTAAATAATTTTAAAATATAAAAGATGCAGGTAATTTCAAAACACAATAGGTAATCAGTATTCAGTTAACAAAATACTGATTACCTTTTCAAATACTGACTATCTTTTCCAGATTTACTTTTATCCTTTATGACTTTTTCAATGCCAGATTAAAATAACTGGATGGTCTCAATGAGAATATTCTACAAGCATTACTGAAACAATCCAGCTTTAAATAAATTTAAGTGTCATTTAACATTGAAATCTTAGTCACAAAATAAAATAATTTAAAATGGAAAATGATTTTTAATTATAAATAATAAAGATTTTAAGTTGAAGAATTTTTCTAGGGTGTAAAGGTTCTTATCTGGAGCATCTCTCAACCTTGAAATGCCCCTTTGGAAGTATATTGCACATATACACTATGTAATTGTTTTATTGTCTCATACCTCATTTACTGTTTTCAATATACTAATTTTGTTTTCAAAACTCTTAATGGTAATTCCATTATATATATTTATTAAAAAAATAAAATTTATCTCTAAACAGTTTGTCATAAATGTTAGTTATTGTGAAAAAATTTGAAATGATAGTACATACAAAAAAAGCTTTGAAAATTCTACAAAGTAGATTTTTGTTAATAAATTATAGGTCTTATAAAGTAAATAAAATGAACATCGGTATTTTGAACTAATTTGAAACAATTTAGAGTAATTTAGAGTAGGGCTCCTCTAATTGGATTGGATCTTTTAAATTCAATGGGGCCTCTTGAAGGGACTCCATTTAGATTTTGATGCATCTTTTTTATATACATATAGAATTTTGATATATATAGCTTTTTACAATTTTACATAAAATTCTCAATTTTTACTCAGTTTTACACTTCATTATGCATCATCTAAAAATATCTTCTATTTTTTTTATAGACACAGGTGATGAACATATATAATGAAAGGGCTCCCCAATTCTATTAGCCTAAGGTACTCTTAAGGCCTAAATCCAACCTTGTTTAGGAGTTTGTCATATTGCAATTTGGGTGCCACCAAATTTTCAATAGATTTCATCATCAATAAACCACTTTTTTTTACTTTGGCAGGATGTGGACGCTCCTTGGTTGATAAGATTGAAAAATAAATTAATTAGAATAAATTAAATAAAGAGTAAGAATTTTAGAATATCATTTGTTTTTGTGCATGTTTATACTAACTTACTCTTTTCTTTTCAGCTAGTTCTCCTTTCTCCTATTGTAATTAAGAAAGTGGCTTGTGGAAGAGAAGGTGCATCAAGTTTACTTATTATAAATCCAAAATACAATAATTCAGATTTGGTAAGCAGTAGAATCTTTATGAAATTTCTTTTAATATAATTACTCTAATATAAGATCTTAAAATCTTGTAAAATGTATATTTTTTATTTTAATGATTCTGTAGTAGGAGTGATATGATGTAATTCACATTAAAATTTTCATTTTTGGGTGAATACGATGTCAGAATAATTTATTTACAAATTATTCTTACATCGTATTCACCCCAAAATGAAGATTTTAATGTGAATTACAAAATTGATAATGAAAACATTTAAAAGTTTTCATATTTTAATGCTTTTCAATATTGTAGAAAAGTATAAAGTAACTATGAGGGAAGTATTAGGAAATTCTCAGTCTGTCTTTTCTTAAAATCTTGATCAAGCATCAGATTTTTTCAGTACCCCCTAGTACATATCTAAATTCTATTAACAATTATGAAAGTTCTTGTAGCTGGAGTGCTTTAATGGTTAAAACTATAGAAATAATTAGTCTACATGGCAAATTTGCAGATAGATTTTTCCACTAGGTTGCTTTTGAGATAAGATAAAAACTGATCCAGGTAGTAACAAATAAAAACATATTGAAGATAAGAGGTGGGCAATTACTATATACTCTTATAATCTCAGATCTCTCAGCTCAAATATAGGATTTCAAATTGAGTCTTTAGCATTTATAAAATATACTATGATCATTCAGTGTGAGCATTTTTACATTCTGTACGTGTAAAGACCGCAAGGCAGATTTCAAGAGCAAGCAAAAGTATAGGTTACAAAGACAGAACTAGGAAAAGTTAGTGTATCAATAATACTGGGAATGTGCAACATCCTTAGAATTGGCACTAAGGTGAACCAGTGTTAGTGTACCAAAGAATGTATAGCATGTTGTAATAATATATACAACCAAAGAGGAAGCACATTTTTTAAATATGATATTAAAGATTTTTACCCTTCTATATTGTACAAAATATTGGATAAAGCCATCAACTTCTCCAAAGAATATATGGATATTTTGGATCAGCAGGTGTAAATTATTAAGCATAGTTGAAATCAGCATTATGATAATTGTGTGTTGTTGAAAAAGGGCCTAAAAATGTTAAATTTGACATTTCAATAGGCTTGTTTGATAGAGCATAAGCTTGTAAGCTTATGGGGTTGTTTATACAATGCATACTAGGGAGAATTATAGATAAAGAATATAATGAGCTCAATAAGAACAGCGGCCTTATATTCATAGAAAATATTACTGGCAGAAAATCTGATTCCATAAGAAAAAAGCTATTTTAATTGACATTTTGGATTTTACCAATCACTAGTGTTTGTTGTATATATGTATGTATTCTCCCTTTCTGGTGTAGATAACTATTATAAGTGTGGAAAATTTAATTAATGCACAAAGTTCAGATTTCAGCTGATACTATTTAATTACTTTACAATATTATCTGTTAAAAGCATAAATTATTTCCATACTCTGTCTGACCACCAGATATCTTGACAAGTGTTTTATTGTTGGCATGCTAGATGGTTGATAAAGAAAATAACAGTTAAGGGAGTACTTAGATAGTTTCAGTAATAAGCAGGTTTAGTTGTTGCTATAAACCCTACTAGGATTATAAAAGTACCAAATACTGGTTAGTATTTGCAAAATGTGTCACCTTTATAATAATTTACATGATAAAGTTTATAAAATAATTAACATTAATTCTTTTCATGTAGTAATTCCCTGTTTTATGTTTCTATTTTAGCTAAGTACAATTCATTAGTTAATAGATATTGATTTTTGTATTGATACAAAAAGGAAAAACTAAAATTTTTATTTTTGCTTTTTTTTATTGGTTAATAGTGGAACATATAAATGCCTTAATATGAATCTGATTAGTTGAGAATTAATTAAATTTAATTAAATTATGACTGGTATTTAGACTTACCTTGCAGCAGAAAAAAAATTTGACTGGATTTTGGAGCTTTAATCAAAAATCACATATTCAAATTGCAACTCTGAACACCACTGTCTGCACTTTTCAAAGAGTTTTCAACTTAGGGTGGCCACATGTTCTAAGAGAAATTTTCTAAATAGGTTATGCATTTTTCTTTCATAGTTTTATTTCTTGATTTCTTTGTCAAAGTCTATGATGGTTTTCTCTTTGTAAGATGCCCATTTATTTCCTTTGTTTAATTCTTTTGAAATTAAAGGTTGTGTGATTACATCATTTGAATAAATTTGATCTAATATTTTTTGTCCTCAACTTCTGTTCTTATTAATAACTTGTTTGTAAGAATATTTTCTCTTAGCTGACATTGCTAAAAAGTTAAGGAACTTTTCTGTATTCATCGTAAGTAAATTAGTTGGACTCTTTTTCTGGAATCTGGGACTAGGCAAAACAATGAAAAATGATTTTATAAAGAGATATAATTGTTGCAATTCTCAAATTGTTGAAAATGAAAAACAATTCTATAACATAAACAAACATGACCTAATATCATAATAATTAAAGGGTTATAAGAAATGCAGTTTTGATGACTATTGGTAATTGATGGATGAATTGAATGAATGAATCTGATTGGTTGAGAATCATAAATTTATTTGTATCATTCTACTTAGAGAAATAATGTAACTGCAATTTGGGTTTAATCAAAATTAACAATGTATTATGCATGTGAAATATGAAATTTTTAAATTTTTTTTTCTTTTTTACAGTGAGTAATGTATCATGTCAGTAATTACAAAACTCTTATCACTTGGTGTGCTTTAAAATTAAATTTATTAGTGTTGATTCAACAATGTAAATCCCATGTAAATTTTCACTATTGTTTTTATTCATAATTGGTTTATTTACTACATGATAGTATTTTCTAAACAATAATTATTACAAATAGATATCTTAAATTAGCTGCTTATTTACCATTTCAAGGCTGTTTTTGTTGTCAGACAAAAATTACTACCAAACTTTTTTCTTAAAATCATTGTTTAACTTTACTCAATCCAGTCAATATAATTCCTAGAATCAATAAAAAATATATCATTTTACTAATGTTATTAATGTATTGTTATATTTTCAGATTCATGTGCAAAATAAAATATGTAGAAGTAATCATGAACAAATGAAGAAGCTTACTGCCATTTTAAATGCTGATATTTCTGACCAGATGGTTGTTAATATTGTAAGCATATTTAAGTGTTCTCCATTTGTAGCTTTCTCTGAAATTTAATTAGAGAGTAACTTGATTTATTTGTTCTGTTTTAGCTAGAAAATATTTTACTAAAATAAATATTTGAAAATTTTAAATACAAAATTAATGTAAAATTGTGGTCCACCATTCATTACGCAGAAAAAATTTAATTTGTAAGATATTATCTTATATAAATTGAATTCAAAGGAATTCTAGAAACAAATTATATGAATATCTTACAAGACATCATTCCATAATACTTCAAAGTAGACATTCATACATTTCAGTTCCTTATGACTAATTTTTGATATTTATTCAATGAGAATCTAGATTTTAGCTCATATTATCATAATCTGGTATTATTAGCATTATTAAATACTTTGAAAAACTCATTATTTTGTAATTTCTTACAAACTGTTTATATTAATCTTTAACATTTTCTGGGATTTTTTTTATTTTCATAATATATACATTCTCTATAACTTTACAACTGAACAAACATTTTAAAATAAATTTTGACTGACTCAGTGACATGATACTGTTATTATTATGGAATATTCTAAGGTGCTTTATTATTGAGTCTAGATCTGATTTATGCAAGCAAATTGTTTTCTTTTATATTGTAAATAATTTTCTTTTCAGCTTCATCTTAATAAATTAAATCTAACAGAAGCAGAACATCAAATAACTCAATTTCTTGTGAAAGTAAGTTACATATTTTTTTTACCTTCAATTTAAATAGAATAAAAATTAAATATTTCAGTATGCATCCTCAGTTGTCTCAGTCATAGAGAAAAGTGCTTTTTACATTATTACCTATCTGTAAATTTGAGTATGTTAGAAAGTAGAAAAATATTTAAAGCAGTATAATTTCTTTTAAATTACAATGGGAATTATTTACATTTTATATTTTTTGTCAGTAAACTAATGAAAAAATAGCGAGATTGAAAGTGACCTTATGGCAATTGGTTATATCATAATTATTCTTTACATTGAATTTTAAGGAATTACAATCTTACAATCTTATAGCAGTATAACCTGTTTTCAACCGGGTTTTTCATTACTGGAAATTTTTGCCATTCAATTGGAACAGTTTAAGTTTAAAGTCAGCCCACCTGAAAATCAATATTACTAAAAACAATTGGGTGCAACTGAGATGCATCCTCAAATTGAGGGGAAGGGTTAAAAATTTGAATGGGGGTGGCCCTGAAAAAGGCCATTTTTGCATTCTCAATCTTGTTTCAGCCTCACACACAGCAGCAGTTGAGGAGGCGTTTCTCCTCAGCCGTTGAGTCCTTTGATCATCATTTTCAGTTGTGTGTGCAGAAGTGTTCAGGTATGCTCTTCTGGAAAGCTGATGGCTACGTTGATCTTTGGACTCTGTGGCTCTGATTGAAGCATTCCAAGAGGCATTTTGAGACAGGCAAAATGAACATTCTAAAGATGATTTGTTATCTCTTATTCACATGGCAGTCCTGGTGGAAGCGGTTTTGTGACCTAGGCAAGTTCTTTTCTTTGGTGGCATGTCTTAGACAAGTATGAATTGTAAAATGTAATGCATGGGCAAATACCAGAAGAGAATGCTGTAAAGCTATAGAGATCACTAAGGTCGGATAAGTTTAGGAAAGGTTGGAAAAATAAATGTTGAGTAATAAAAAAGCAAGCTTACTTATTACTACGGTGAATGCAATGCAAAAACTGGCAGGACAATAAAAAATTTAAATTGAGAACAGCTATAAATGACAATGAAAGAACACCTTAAAACTGTAGTAGTAGGCTTTATGCAACGGAAAAGGTAACCTGACTTGAGAGAGATTGACGCTTGGCTAAGAGAAGGGGAATGTGTAAGCAAGGCAGGACAGAAGCAGAATTAAGTGGCAGCAATGAGCTTAGGACTGTGTAGACAATCAGTATGTAATGGCAACATTTGATTGGATGTGTAAAGTGGCTTCATGCAGCCAATGGTCAACTTAAACAGATGTCGCGTTCTGCAGGTCATGCATATGCACGTGCATTAGTGCATGACACAGCGCTTGTTGCAGGGCCACATGTACACGCATTGCTACACATGCTAATTATCAAGGTCAGCAGCAACTGATGGGCAATGTGTGGAGATGTGAATCATGCCCACACAGCGTGAGCTAGGATTGGAAGGTTATGCGTGAAAAAGTAAATTAAATTTTGCCTTTGATTTTTGCACAAAGTGTAAAAAATCAGTTTTTTTGATTTTTCACCTTCAAGGTTGTAATTTTTTTCAGCCAATTTGGACTCAAAACTGGCACTGAAGAATTATCTATCAAACAAAAAAATTTCATTGAAATCAGATGAAAACTGTGGAAACACATAAATAACATCTAGTCACACACACACACATTTTGAGGATTATAGATATATATAATATTGTTGTAATAATTTAAACCAATTATTTTTGTTAAAGTTTTTATGAAAGATATATATCCAAGAACAGATAGTAAATAGTAAAACGTTGCTATGATAGACAGGAAGCAGTGGAGAGCCATTGTCGCTAACAATTTGGACTCAAAACTGGCACAAGAATTATCTATCAAACAAAAAAATTTCATCAAAATCAAATGAAAACTATGGAAATGCATAAGCAACATCCAATCACATACACACATTTTGAGAATTATAATATATAGATAATGATCTATGCAGAGGTACAAATTGGTTGGGATATTATGCAATGTTTAAGCTGTATCTTGGAAACAAACAAACATACATACATGATTAGACTTTTAGAATTATATAAATGAATTAATACACTCTCAAAATATTTAAAGCATAAAATGAATGAGATTTGAGAATATTTTTGAATTCTTTAAAAGATTTTATTAAAATAAAGTATATCATGAATAAATTGTGAAGATGTTTGTCAACTTCCAAAATAAAAATATCAAAATATTATGCAACTGTAAAGGTTATTATTGTATCCTTAAAGATGTTACAAACAGACAAAAAGGTGGTACTCGAGTGAAGGAAGAGTAACAAGTGCGTAGATGAAAGAAGAGAGGTAAATGAATACACTACTGAAATACAGGTTATCGGGGTAGCAAGCTAGTAATTCCCAAAGCAAGCCCCCAGTTATATCTTGTGCTCACCATATATAGCTACTGATATAGTCAGTCCACATAGGCGACAGGGATTATGGGACATTCCATTACAACAGTTTTTTTATTCTACTTTCTGAAATATGAAGTTTAAACATTATGAATTAAGTTACTTTTATTTTTGACTGAAATAGAGCATGTTATAAATACACAAATTTATGAGTAGACAAATGATATCATCACTGTATTTATATAAAAAAAAGTATGTTATAGATGATCCTGACCAATTTAAGTTTATATAACTTTACAATTAGAAAACTAATAAAATTTATAAAAACTTGAGATTCTACTTTCTTGCAATATTAAGTTTTTGGTGACATAAGACAATAATTTTCTTTGCATTAAAATAGGGTCTTGATTGTATATGAAATATACATATATTATTTCATATACCAGTGTAACAGCAAAATTGTCCAATTGTTAGATTAAGCTTTGAACTGTTGTATCTTAGAAATGATTAAAGATATCTTACTGGAATTTGCCAAAGTTTTTATAACACTATTGCACTCTATTTTGAGCAATAAGAATGTATAATTACTCTCCAAACTTAACAGAAGAAACATGATGAAATCGATCATAACCGAAAATGACATGTGCACCATTAACTGATCATAGCTAAAGATTGGAAGCTCACAAAGGATTGATACAAAGTTCAAATATATATATATATATATATATATATTCCAGGATCTTCACCTAACTTTCTGTCCTGGAATAACAAGGTGTGTCAGATTTCATGTACAATTATATTTTCAAGTTTTTTTCACTGCTGTCATAGCTGAAACTCCTCTCTCACATGCCAGATGTCTTATGGATTGATTTGGATCTTTTCTTGATCTCTTTAACTCTAGGTTGAAATGATGATCCGTTTTCATGTTGTAACCTACTGATCCAGTTTTCCTCCCTACTATTCCCTCTTTTTAAACTTATTCACCGTCCTCTTAATGGTTCTTGAATGGACTTTATAGATGGAAGCCAGAGTATGAATTTTGGTACCATTACTGAAGGGCTGAATGATCTTTTTTGTTTTGTCATTGCTCAGTTGTGAAGACAGTGTGGCTGACACAAATGATTTTAACTTGTTCTCTTTCTTTGCTGAATAAGGGTTTTTCAGTGATTCTTATGACAAATGGTGTTAAGATGGCTAAACGTCTGAAAACCTGGAAAAAAGAAACTCAATTAGTCTAGTGATTTTTTTAGATATTAAACAATTTGCGGGATGGACAGTTATGCTGTAACATGATTTGGACAATTTTGCTGTTACACCTGGTACATTCTATCAGCTTTTTGATAGGTGCTTTTCTTTCATGGCCAAATAATATATAATGACAGGTGTTTTCAAATGCTTGGATCCACCCAGTTAACATTTTAAGTCAATTTTTAACAATTTTAGTTCAGAAAAAAAATGCAGAGGTAAGATTTTCTTATAAAATTAATAAATTGAATTTTAAGATCAACATTGAATTAAATGTTTTTTTTTTGTGGGCTAAGACCTGAATGTTCACTGCATTTAAACATTAGACTATAGAGATTTGAAAATCTGATTTAATATGTAATATTGTCCGGGAACCCTATTTTTACTAAGATAACAAAGTAATAGAGAATCTTTGTAGATCATAGTATT